GAACAATTAGCTTCCACTACGCCATTCTCTCATAAATTTGAATTTGAATTTGAATTCTGAGTAACCGTTAAGCCACGTCATCTTGCGCCTTCTAACTATTCCAGTACTCTGCAGATCCATCAATACCAATATGAACTGTCACGTGTCTATTGTTGATTGGAGCCTTACATTAAGTCCCCAAATGATCCCATGTGGGCTACGTGTTAAGCTGTGATTGCCTTATACAAAATATGTAGCCAAAAAAATTGATAGGATTTGAATTTCAAATTATGTTTGGTTTAGTTGAGAAATAGAGAGAGAAAAAATCATAAGCGAATCCAAAAGATAAAAAATAAGATTACCTTTTCCTCTCGCTTTCTTTTCTTATGTGTTTTTCATTGTAACCAAATAAAAAGTGAAATTGTATTTTATTTTTCTTTTCTATTTTTCTTATCAAATCTTCTAACTAAACACAACCTACAAGTCATCAAGGACCACAAAAATGGATATATGCTAGGGGTGAGGGTGTTTATTAAAAGTTCATTATCCAGTTTGAACATTAATGAAAGTCAATTTGTTAGAGGCTACTCAAACCTATTTGAGAGTGAAGACAAAAATCTAATCAGAGCATTTTTTACAATTTTATTTATTTATTTATTTTTGTGTGTTATCATAATTTTATGAGGCCCTTTTTGTATCCAATAAAAAAAGATGCTCACTTCCTGTCTGATTTATGGAAAGTCTAATGATGAAATGGAATTCTTATTTGATAATTTAATATTTAAATACTTTATTTATTTATTGAGAGATTTTTGGCTACTTTTTTTTTATTTTATTTCAAGAATTATTTGAACTATAATATTTATTTATTTTATTTTATTTTATTGGGTGTATGCACACTATAGTTGATGTAAGACAAGATTTTAAGAATTTTTGTATTTTTTGTTTTAATATTTTTGATATATTATTTCTTAATTTTATTATTTTGGAATTAGATTTTGACTAGGATTTTAAATAGTTTAGAATTTTAGTTTCATATTCTCTTAGGTGTCTTAATTTGTGTTGATTTAAGTTTCCTAATTTCTTTTAAAATTATTTTTCCTACAAGTATTAGGTAAAGTTTATTATAAATAAGCATACAAGCATATGTAATAGGATTCATTCAATCAATAATATTTTAAAAAGTTTTTCTTCTCTATTCCTTGTAGATTCAAGGTTCTATTTTTCTTGTGGATTTAAAAAGTTTTTCTTCTCTATTCCTTGTAGATTCAAGGTTCTATTTTTCTTGTGGATTCAAGAACCCATTTCGTCTACTAGAACGATATCTAGTCCCCGTGTATTCTGCCGCATCAAGTGGTATCAGAGCAAGGTTTCTCCTGACTCGATGTCATTCATCAAAGGAGAAAGCACAAACTCTATTGACGATGATTGTAAAGAAAGATCTAACAGGATTCGAGTCAAGGGACTTGCCCAAGGCTAACCTGTTAGTCACAACGTTAATAGGAACCGCGCTATGGGATTTGCCCAAGGCCATCCTATTAACCACAACGTCTTGAGACGATCTTCTTGTTATCAATACGATAATGAGAATGAATCGAAAGATGAGTTATTCAAGGATTATTGTGAATATCAGTTGGTAAGGCGACAATGAAGATTTAGTGTTGTGTTTAATAGGAATAATTGCATCAATCATGACTTTCAGATTATCAAGTACCACCAGAAATTTCCTATTTTAATGCTTCTTGTCATGCTGAGAATTTTATTTATTGGTTTCACAAAGTTGACAAATTCCTTGAGTGTATGAAAATCTCTGAAGAAAAGCATGCCAAATATGTCGCGCGTTAGTTACAAGGTTATGTTTCTACATGGTGAAAACGATTACAATATTATCGAAGGCGACATTACAAACAACCCATTGAAACGTGGCATAAGACGAAGAAGTCAATGAGTTCTAGATTCCTTTAATCAAATCACGGGCAAATGTTATATCAACAATTTCAAGGAAAGCATGAATCGAAACAATTGTTCCAAGATAATTCTGATTTACAATATTCTTCGCAACTCAATTCTTATTATGCAATTGTGGATGCAGATTATTCGAGAAATACGACTATGGCTCTGCCAAGTTTGGGTCAATCAAGTCTTGTAGGTCAACAAATTTGTCACACTCTACCACACATTAAAGAAGAAAAGATTTTGGGTATCTCAATGTTTGAAAATTTCGAAGACCCAAACAGACATTCAATTGAAGTAGAAAATCAAGTTGATTTCAACAATGGTGAGAACATTGAAATTGATGAAAGACAGGTCACTGAAATTACTTTGATCAAGAAGTTTAAAGAAGACGATGAAAAGGTGAAGCAAGAGAAAAACGTTAAAGTTAGCCAAGAGCTTCTAATGACGAAACTATTATCTCTTGATTATTATGATGGTTATGAGATTGCAAAAGAAGGAGATCAAGTTGAACTCAATGAAAAAGAAGAAATAAAAGATGAGGTAATAAAGTTGACATGTGCACCAGAGAAGTTGATTGGGGATGCAATTGATGTTCAAAAGATGATAATTGAATGTTTAATTGAATCTAAGACAGAGCAAAGTCTAGAGAGTATCCAACATCAACATAAAATACACTTCGTTGATTTTCTTGGTGTAGAGCAATTTAATTTGGTTTTCAATACTTGTCTAATTGATCTTGTTAACCAGTTGAAGCATATAGAATATAACTTTCAGAAAGTAGATTTCTCTGCATATAATTTTTGGAAAAGGGACAAACAACTGAAATATTTCAAGTATCTTTTTATTTGCCATGGATGATGGCAAATCTCTAATATGAATTCAAGGATGAGTTCTTTCAAAGAAGAGGAGCCTGATGTAGGACAAAATTTTAAGGATTTTTATATTTTTAGTTTTGATATTTTTGATATATTACTTCTTAATTTTATTATTTTGGAATTAGATTTTGACTAGAATTTTAAATAGTTTAGAATTTTAATTTTCTATTTTTTTTTAATTTTTTAATTTGTGTTGATTTAAGTTTTCTATTTTATTTTAGAATTACTTTTCCTACAAGTATTAGGTTTAGTTTATTATAAATAAACCTACAAACATATGTAATGGGATTCATTCAATCAATCATATTTTAAAAAGTTTTTCTTCTCTCTTCCTTGTGGATTCAAGATTCTAATTTTCTTGTGAATTCAAGAGCCCATTTTCTCTATTAGAACGATATTTAGTTCCTATGTATTCCGCCGTGTCAATAGTGAATATTAAAGAGAAAACAAGTATATAATAAATTAGGCTTTCTTTTACTCTTGAGCCCAGACAAACGGATAAGGGGTCACTGCTGTGCTCAAAGTAAAACAGTGACTGTGGTGCCTCTATTTGAGGTGTATTATGGCCTTATTTTTATAATCCAAACCATCATTTTGTAGGATTTGTTGAGTACTTCATACTTATCAAAAATTATATTAATCGGATATCAATAACTATATGATCGATTTGCATATTGTTTATGTTATTTCTCAAAAACTTATTTTTTATTTTTTTTTTGTTATCGATCATATAGTTGTTGATATCCGATTAATATGATTTTTTGTAGGCATGAAGTACTCAACAAATCCTACAAAATGAACGGTTTAGATTATAAAAATAAAGCCACAATACATCTCAAATGGAGGCACCACAGTCACTGTTGTGCTTTTAGACAAACACCTAAATTGCCTATCCCTTCAGCTACCACCGCAACGTGTGCATTAATTGCAATTTCCAAACCATTCAACTAATTGATCACTAGGTGTGTTTGGTAACGTTTACGTTTTCAGTTTATATTTACAAAAAATTTACAAAGTGGTTTTTGTTTATTTTTTGTTTGTTTTTAGAAAAACATAAACTGTAAACGCGTTTGGTAATTGACAAAATGTTTAAAAAATTTTAAAAATATAAAAAGAGTAAGAAATAGCAAGTGGTGGCAAGTAGCGGCGGAAGACGGTGATGGAAAGTGATGACGGTGGGTGGTGGGTGGGTGACGGTGGCGGGTGGTAGCGAGTGAGTGGGTGGTGGGGGTGGTGGTGGTGGTGGGTGGTGGGTGGGTGACGGTGGGTGGCGGGTGGTAGGTGGTAGCGAGTGGGTGTGGTGTGGTTGTAGTGGTGGCCGGGTGGCAAGATAGGTGGTGGCGGGTGTCAGGTGGTGGTGGGTAAGTGAATATATAGAGGTGGCAGGTGGTATATAGAGATAATATAAGGTGGGGTGGGGATGGTGGTGGGTGGTCGCCGGATAAGGGAGTAAGGCGATGGTGAAGTGGATGGCGTGGGTACAGTCGGCGAGTGATGGGACATCAGATAGGCGGGGTGGTATTATAGCGGGGTGCGAGAGATGGGAGTGATGGTAGGTGGCGGGTGGTGGTGGGTGGTGGCGAGTATGGTGTGTGACCTGAGTGGTGGGGTGGTCGGTGGTGGACACAGAGGGGAGTGACGTGATAGGCACTGGTGAGCAGAGTGGGGCGGTGGCAGACAGTAGGATGTGTGGCTGGCAGGTGGTAGCAGGTGGGTGGTGATGGCTGGTGGCAAGTAGGTGGGGTGGGTACAGAGGGCCAAGAACGCCAGGGGCCAGTGGCAATTAGGTGTAAAAGGTGGCAGGGATTGGGTGGGCACGGAAGTGAATGATGGGGTAAGTGGGCAGGTAGGGTGGTACTGGTGTCGAGTGGTGGTGGGGGATGGGTGGTGGGATGGGTGTGCGGAAGAAGCGGTGGTGGAAAAGTTTGTAGCGGGGTAGTGGCTAGTGTTGGGTGGTAAAAAAAAAAAAAAATTCAAAATTCAAAATTCAAAATGGAAACACATTTTTTGTGTTTTTATTTTTTGGCCAAATTTATAAACTGAGACCACTGATTTAAAAATCAAAAATTATACCAAACAAGTTTTTATTTGAATTTTTTAAATTTTTATAAATATAAACAAAAAATAAAAAACGTAAGTGTTACCAAACGGTACCTATATATATATATATATACATATTTGTTCTTTTTATGTTGAACAGTCGAAAGAGATATTATTGATAAGTGAAAAGAAACCATCACACAAAGCTCCCATTCTTCAACAAAGAATCGCGGAGCCAAAACAAGAGGAGCGAGTAACAAAACCAACCAACCTACCTCACTCACATACTCTAGCTTCTTTTATTTAGTGGCATAACTAGAAACAAAACAAGACTTGAAGCAGAGATATCTAGTTAGATTTTCCAACAGGATGAATACTAAATATGGTTTGTAACACGGTCAACAAAAGCAACACAACAGCAGCAACAAACGATATGGATGCCCATGGAGTGTTGAAATAATCCCGTCTTAAGATCGCAAACCGTATGTTCCATTTCCCCCTGCAATGCTTATTCACATTGTTATAAACTTCTTCGTAACCTAGGTCAGATATTATGATATTGTTGCCGAGCTTGTTTAACATAGTCGCAACCACTTCATTTTCACCTAAAAGGCTACGAATAATTCCACAGTGAGTAAGTATTTCGACATCCTTTGAGGTGTTCACGAGGTAATCCATAAACTTGTGATAAGCAGTGAAATGATGCCATGAAGTATCTGGATGGTATTGCTCATATGCAATTAAATTTCTGAAAACAGACTCTGTATCGTCTTCAACTTTTAAAGTCGGGATTTTCAATATCCCTTCTTCAAACCTTATGCCGAACAAAGTCTCTCCCTCAATGTTCTCGAATTTGATCCCGGTTTCTTGGAGCTCTGTTGCAGATTTTAGGGACTCTTCTTTTATTCCATCAGGATTGCTTCGGGAGAATACCGTTGAATGAAATTGGTAGCAGCAACAATAATGCAACAGGCCTAGAAGATGGTTGATGGACAAATGATCTCGTAAAAGTTCACCTGGTTCTGGTGTTATCCAACCAAAATGCCTAAAAAACTCGCCAATGAGGTTGTCTAGCGAATATGTAGAATTTTCGGTCCTGGTCATGTCGAACAACTTCTTGACGATAAAGAATGGAAGTTGATTTTCAAATAACACTAAATCACGTATGATGGCATTTTGAATATAGCCGTCCCGGTCTATAGGGGTTGTCATCGGGTTTGTCATCGGGCCTATCAGGTTTCTCGCCGGGTCTATTGGGTAGTTCAGGCCTACCAAGTTTGCCACCGGGTCTATCGGTTCTACTGGGTTTGTCATCGGGTCTATCAGGGCGTTTGGGTCTACCGGGGTTGTTATCAGGTTGTTCGGGTCTACCAGGTTTGTAGCTGAGTCTATCGGGCCTCCAAGTTTGTCGCTGGGTCTATCGGTTCTACTGGGTTCGGCATCGGGTCTTTCAGGGGGTTCGGATCTACCGGGCTTGTCATCGGGTCGTTCGTGTCTACCAGGTTTGTCGCTGGGTCTATTGGGTCGTTCGGGACAACCAAGTTTGTCGCCGGGTCTATCGGTTCTACTGGGCTTGTCATCAGGTCTATCAGGTCGTTCGGGCCTACCTGGTTTACCACCGGGTTTGGCGGGTCGTTCGGTGGCTATCGGGTTTATCTTTTTCTCATTCTTGCGAAGCAACTCAACGATGAAGCAACCGTCAAGAAGCATCATTTCTACAAACTTATTTGAATCAAGGCTAGTGGGATCTGCATACGACTTACGTGCTTTTTGTTCAGATTCTCGCATCGCCACGATGTATCTTTCCGCACTGGTTTCATTTCTTCGGTTAAGAAGCCGTTTCAAGTAGCGTAATTTGTGCTCTTCCATTGGTTGTAGATTATCCTTACCATGGTGATAAGGACCAATAGCAACTACTTCTGGTTCGTAAGCTTTTTTATTTTCGTTGCGCAGTACATCATGTACTCTAAAGATGCAACGTTCAGATGGTATAAGTGTCAACTCAGCAAGCTTTCTATCAATATCGAGGATATGATCGGCATTTATCCCTGCCATGTTCTGTCTGTCACACACAAATTTCCAAGACCATATGTCAAAAATAATTGTAGAGTTTTTTTTATGCCTTCAATGAAACCACATGTACAATTTTAATCAACGAGGCAAATTTGCATTTCCCTCTCAACTTGGTTTTCATTGCTTTGAAATATCAATTAAAATACAAATTCAGACTTGAGTTTCTTAAAAGATAATGAACAAGACAATAAAATATAATTTTCAATGTTGAATACTCTTATAACAACAAAATTGAAAAATAAAAGATAAATTACACTTTCATCTCTTGAGATTTAATATAATTTCAAGAACTTCCCTTGTGGCCTTAATAATAACACTAACTAACCTTATTTTTGAAACTATTATTAAGATTCTTCCACGATTAATCATCTATTAAACCATTTAATGGAATTCATTGATGTCATGCGTTATAAGGCCTAAAATGTCAAGATAGCCCTGTAGTTATCTTATCTATTCAATGATAAATAACAAACACTCAGGCTTATTTTAACAATATTGAACAAAATTCTGAAATTCTATATAAAATTAAACAAAACCCTTAAATTTTTTTGATAAAAAACAAAATCTCTAAATTGTTAAGATATTATTAAAAAAACTTAACAGGAAAAAAAAAAAAAAAACTGATTTTCATCAATAAAATACCTTTAAAAAAAAAACATTTCTAAAGTCAATATTAGATATATAACATCTTAATATTTTAATATAAGACCTATTTCACGCTACATAAATAATGTAAAAATTTATTATTTTAATTAATGCTTATATTATTTGAATTTCTTTTTTTTAAGAAGTGAAAACAAATTAACTTTTTTATTTTTTAAAAAAATAATGATAGGTATCACGAAAGAAATATTATGAAATATTTGATGAAGATTTTTCATCATTTAATTAGTGTGTGATGTTTTATTATGTATGTAATCTAAGAATGAACACTTTTCATAAAAATTTTTATGATATTTCTTTCCTGATGCACACTTTTTCAAATAAAATGAACTCCTGGGGATTCATGAAACAGTATTTGAATATTGCATATTTCTATAATTAGATCATGTTTTACTCTATAAGTTAGACTTGCTTTCACTACTTTATGCTCTGCTCTATAACTTGAGAGAACTAGTCAAGCACTCATTTTTTGTTCATCAATATATATAAATCTACGAATCTGATGGAGGGCTTGGTGAGGGAGGCAAAAGGTGCCAGATTTGATGAAAATGGTTACAACAAAAAATTAAGGTCGCAGAGACTAAAATTTAGAAATAAATTTATTTTTTAGAGATTAAATAATTTTGTTACAAAAAGTGTCGATATTTTTAACACAAAAATTAGACATTAATAATAAATTTTTATCCTTTTAAGACCAAATTTTTTGTCTCAAAAAATAAATCATTTTGATACCAAATTATTTTGTCTCTAAAAGTCTATTTATTAGTAACATTTTCAAAATTTTGTTGCCAAAAGTCTTGCTTTTGACTTTTCAAGACGACCTTTTAACGATTATCCTCATGACGATGGTCCATCGTCGATTAATTTTATCCCTAAATTTTATTACAAAAGATATTTAGTGATTAATTTCCATCGTCGATGAAAATTAATCACTAAGGGCTTATTTGGTTTGTTTTTGGGAGAGTTGTTTTTGAAAATAAAAATTGGGGAGAGAATTTAGAAATTTTTTTGGTTTGTTTGGTTGTATATTTTGAGAAAGTTGTTTTTTTGGAAGTTTGGGATGATTTGATATTTTGGGAGAATTTGAATAAATGTGTGTGAAAGGAAAAGTGATTGAGAAGGAGAGATGGGAGAGAAAAAGTGATTGATTGATGTGTAAGAGAAAGAAAGTGATTTTGAAATTTTTTTAAGAAAAACTCAAACCAAACAATTTTTTAGAAATTTTTTTCTAAAACTCATTTTCCAAATGCAAACCAGACATACCTTAAATATCTTTTGTAATAAAATTTTCACTTTTAAAATTCAAAACATTCATTTGTCTCAAAAAATAAATCATTTTGATACCAAATTATTTTGTCTCTAAAAGTCTATTTATTAGTAACATTTTCAAAATTTTGTTGCCAAAAGTCTTGCTTTTGACTTTTCAAGACGACCTTTTAACGATTATCCTCATGACGATGGTCCATCGTCGATTAATTTTATCCCTAAATTTTATTACAAAAGATATTTAGTGATTAATTTCCATCGTCGATGAAAATTAATTACTAAGGGCTTATTTGGTTTGTTTTTGGAAGAGTTGTTTTTAAAAAAAAAAATTGGGGAGAGAATTTAGAAATTTTTTTTGTTTGTTTGGTTGTATATTTTGAGAAAGTTGTTTTTTTGAGAGTTTGAGATGATTTGATATTTTGGGAGAATTTGAATAAATGTGTGTGAGAGAAAAAGTGATTGAGAATGAGAGAGGGGAGAGAAAAAGTGATTGATTAATGTGTAAGAGAAAGAAAGTGATTTTGAAAATTTTTTAAGAAAAACTCAAACCAAACAATTTTTTAAAAATTTTTTTCTAAAACTCATTTTCCAAATGCAAACCAGATATACCTTAAATGTCTTTTGTAATAAAATTTTCACTTTTAAAATTCAAAACATTCAACCTCTAAAACTTTTATACGTTGTGCGAAGAAGGGCCGACAGAGTTGATATGAGGGAAGGGGTATGGAAAAGGTCAGAGGTTGTGTATCTTAGGAAAAGGGATGTACAGAAGAGGAACTTTAGCGGTGGATTTGAGTAATGAGGGGTGAGAGACGATTTGAGGGAGGGGTGTCATGGGGGTGTGCTGCTGGTGAAGAATCCGAGGGAGGAAGTGGTGAAGAAAGGCTACTAGTGATGATTTGATTAACCGAATTGTTTGCGAGCTAGCTCAACTTGATTCATTAAAGACTCGGCACGACTCGTTTCGAATTCAATTAAACTTAAATCGTCAAACTCGACTCGATTATCTTTATTTAAATTATATATTAAATAATATATATAATGATTGCATAAATATATTTTGTGTATTAAATAATATAAATAATATTTTTTATTTAAATAATAATAAAAAAATCTTATTAAGTCAAGCCGAGTTCGAGTTCAGTTAATTATTGAGTTGAACTCGAACTTAATAAACGAGCTCGATAAGTAAAAAAGTCAAGCTCAAGCTCAAACTTAGAAAAGTTCGACTTGGTTCGGCACATTTGCAATTCTAATTTGGTTTAAGCATAAAATTAAAATAAACATTTTCTTAAAAAGGTGGGTGTAATGATAAAATTATCATTCTCCCTCAATTCTACTTAACAAAATCAAATTTACGGTTATAAGATGGAAAACTACACCCCAATGGGATTAAAAAAAAATATTTACAAAGGTATGAAAGAGTACAAGAAACACGTGCAACCTACAATTTTTTACTTGTACCTCACTACATAACCTGACTACATAACGACTTGCGGTCTATATATTTTTATAATTTTTTTTTTCTATCCCACTACACTTTAATCCCCCCTTATAACATTGAGATTAAAATAAAAGAATTAAAATTTAAATTGATAACATTAAAAATCCAAGATTTAATTTGTTACAAGAATTAACCTTTGATTTTTTTTTTTAATAATAATTTCACCTTAATTATTTTAGTTATTAAACTAAACTAAAAATAATACTTTAGATATTTTATATATACCTATATCATAAGTCTAATTATAATAATTATATCCCGAATATTTTTTTTTATAATTTCTCTAAATATTTTTTGAAAAATTAAACCAAAAATAACAGTACATAGAAACTCATACAACTTACTTGTTAGAAACTCCGCACCACTTTGCTTTTCTACTAGGTTCCGCTTTCCCAAATGCAAAGTGGATTGTTGTAATTGTAATTGCATGAGAAGGGGAGAAAGACCCTTCACCTTTTATAGAGTGAAAAAGTGTTTTATTTTATTTATTTATTATTATTATTATTTTTTTTTTCCTCACTGGTTTGATGAAACTCATGCGTCATACGGGAAATCAAAGTAAACGATATAGAAGGCCATTTTTGAGTTTTTTTTTTAAGTAAATCTTTTTGATATTTTAAGTAAATTTTTACTTTTTAAAAATATTTAATGTAAATAGAATTAAAAAGTATAAATTTGTACCAAAATTATAAAAATAATATAAAAATTCAGTATATTTTCGTATTCTATTATTGTATATTTATTATTTTTAAAATATTTTTTTGTAAATATTTTATTTTTTAAGTACATCTAAGTTATGTGTATCTAAAAAGTAAAAAAAAAAATAAAATATTAAAAAAAATCACTAAAAATAAAAACTATATAAAAAAATTAAAAATTAATTTCTAAAAAATTAAATTCTAAAAATTAAAACCAAACAAGATATCGAAAAAGTAAAAAACTTATTTAAAATATCAAAAAAATTTATTAAAAATAAAAATAATAAAAAATTCAAAAATGGCCTTCTCTATTATTTACTTCATTTCTGACACGTATAGAGACTAATCGGGACCGAGAATCCGGCATGATAATTAGGGGTGTTGAAAAAATCTTTCCCACCTGCCATTCAATTTTTTTTTTAAAGGTGCACCGACCATTCATTAACACTTGAAAGATGCTATTAATCCACTCTTCGAAAATTTATAATTTATTTTGAATGAATATAAATTCATCAATAAATCTTATATTTTGAATTTATAATTTATATAATTTTATATTTTTTTTATGATTTATTTCGTTCTTTTAGATGTATTATGACTCATTTATTCACTATATTGGAGTGTCACATTTGAAAAAAATACACTAAAGAGTTTTTTAATGTCGCATCATACCTGTCACGTTAGAATGTCAAATTTGAAAAAATAAATTACACTAAAAAGTTTTTAATTTTTTTTAAAATGTCACATCATACTCATCTTGTTGGAGTATTGCATGTCACGTTTAAAAAAAATACACTAAAAAATTTTTGGCTGTGTTTGGTATAGCTTTTGAATCATAATTCTACCGTTTAGTTTGAGTGCGGCGTTTGTTTATAGTTTTCAAAAATTATTTTTACACTCGCGTTTGAAAATTCGTGTATCCGGATGTCCCCCTGGAGGTCCCACCGCACGTCTGGCCGGTTGACCGGAACAATGTTCATGATTTTTTTTTTTTTTTTTTTGCACTTGCTATTTTTATATTTTAAATAAAAAATATTTTCATAATTTTTTTAAAATTTTTTATGACTTTTGAATAGAATTTTGAGTTGTATGTTTAGTTATAAGTTATAAGTTTTTGTATCAAAAATCATGTCACATTATTCAATTCAAAAACTATTTTCAAAACTCTTTTTAAAACTCATTCACTAAACAAATTTTTTATACTCAAATCATAATTCCAAAACTCAAAAACTTAAAATACAACTCATATTCTCAAATCATATTTAGAAAACTCTACTAAACACAACCTATAGTTTTTTTTGGTTTTTTTTAACTTTTTTACACCAAAAAAAAAAAAAAAGTCACAAAAAAGTCACTAAAAAATCAATTTTTTAACATAAAAAGTCAAAAAGTAACCAAAAAAATCAAAAAGGTAACTTTTTATCAACTTTCCAAAATACCTAGGGCAGGCTCTGAGCATAGACCCACCAGGCCAAGACTTAGGGCCTCTCAAAATAGACCCAAAATTTAGTATGATATATTAAGTATGTTGTAAGTCCAAAAAAAATAAAAGAAGGCCCAAACTAATTTAAAATAAATTGACGTATTAAAAAATTAAAAGGCCCATTCAAAATTAAAAGGGTACATTCTCTCTCCCTGTTTAATTTCTAAAATAGACCCAAAAAAGAGGCTCCTATTATAATTTAGTATAATATATTATGAATGTTTTAAGTCTAAAAAAAATAAATAAAAGAAGGCCCAAACTAATTTGAAATAAATTGACTCATTAAAAAATTGAATGGCTCATTCAAAATTAAAATGGCCCATTCCCTCTCCCTATCTAATTCTAACCCTAATACTTAATTCAATTTTTCCAAAAATTTGAGAGAAACGGCACAACAGAGCACTAACGAATTTCTTAAGAATTCAGAGCAAATATAATTAATTTATTTACTTCTAAAAATGGACGAAGACTGAAGATCGAGAATCAAGTGATACTTATTAGTTGTTTGAAAAATAAAATTAGATATAATGTCAAAGGTAAATCCAATAAAATTAGATAAATCAAAGGTGTTATTAGTTGTTTGAAAAACGTCAAAGGTGGTAGATCCAATACTTATTAGTTATAATAATGCTCGAGATCACTAAAAGCAGAGTTTTAAAAGCATTACTAGTGATGTGGCAGTGGACGGGGCCCACTGCTTGTGTCTTATTTTTTTTTTTTTTCATTTAAAGTACTTGTCAACTCATTAGTAGTGTTTTAGAGCACCACTTTTAGTGGGATGTATCATTACTGTATTAATTATTAGTTGTTTGAAAAACGTCAAAGGTGATAGAAGGGTGGATTTGAGTGATTTGATGGACCTTAGTGGATTTGAGTGATTTGATGGAGGGGTGTCGTGGAGGTGTGCTGCTGGTAGAGAATCCAAGAGAGAAGTGGTACAGAAAGACTTCTGGTGATGATTTGACTTAAGCATAAAATTAAAATTAATATTTTCTTAAAATGGTGGGTGTAATGATAAAATGCATGGCCATAAGACTTTGATTAAAATAAAAAAATTTAAACTTAAATTGATAATGTTAAAATTTTAATTTTGTACGAGAGTTTATTAATTTCACCTCATAATATTTTAGTTATTAAACTAAATGAAAAAAGATGTTTTAAAATTTTCATATATATTTATATTGAGGTCAAGTTTAGAAAGACTAAAAAAGTGTATTTTTTGTCTTTTTGGACTAAAAAATTGAGGTTGAAAATATGGATGTTTGGGTTAATTTTTTGACTTTTTATTGAAAAATGTGTAATAAAAAAATGAAAAAATTGATTCGTAGGGAAAAATTCAAACTGAAGTAGGGAAAAATTTGAATTGGAAATTGTGCAGCCGTAATTGTTGACTTTTGACGAATAGTGTTAACTTTTTAACTTTTTGAATAACTTTTTGACTTTTTAACTTTTTTAGAAGTACCCAAACTTGGCCTGAGTTTAATTATTAAAATATCATTTTTATATAACAAATCAAAAGATTACATTGATAAAACTGTAATCTAAAATTTTATTTTGTTGCAATAATTATATCCTGAAGTTTTTTTTTTTTTTTTTTTTGTAACTTCTCTAAATATTTTTAGGCACCGTTTGGGAAGAAGTTGGTTGGGTTTTTTTGGTTATTTTAGCCACAAAAAACAAAATAGGCTATTTTAATCATAACAAACAAAACATCACATCCAACCCATAATCATTACACTCTTCTCTCACAAAAAAAGTCAAAAAAATCAAAAAGTCAAAAAGCCCTTCCCAAACTAAGCTTTTTAGCCCAGGTTAAAATAGCTAAAAAAATCAAAAAATCAAAAAATTAACCCACTTCCCAAACAGAACCTTAAAGAATTAAAACAAAAATAGCAGTATTTAAAAACTCAAACAACTTACTTGTTAGAAACTCCGCACTTCTTACTTTTCGACTATATTCCGCTTTCCCAAATGCAAAGTTTCTTGCCTTTCTACTATATCCCGGTTTCCCAAATGCAAAGTGGATTGTCGTAATTGCATGAGAGCAACACCTCTCACCATTTTATAGAGGGAAAAAAGTGGATGAATTTTTGTGTGCAGACAGGCACGACAACAAAGAACACATTCGGGCGGCGATTAATTTTGCCGATTAAATTAAATTTAGTGGTCAAAGATATACCAATTAGTTACTTAAAATTTGTTGGTCGCCAAAGATATATGCATCAGTTATTAGGCTTCGTTTGAAAATAAGTTAATTTAGTAATTTTTTGACTATTTAGTTAAAATATGAGCTAAAAAAATTAGCATGTTTGGGCTTCCGTTTGGGAAGTGGGTTGGTTTTTTGGCTTTTTAGCTTTTTTGGCTATTTTAGTCTGGGCTAAAAAGCTTGGTTTGGGAAGGGCTTTTTGGCTTTTTTGACTTTTTTTGTGAGAGAATAGTGTAATGATTATGGGTTGGATGTGATGTTTTATTTGTTATGGCTAAAATAGCCTATTTTGTTTTTTGTGGCTAAAATAGAAAAAAAAACCCAACCAACTTCTTCCCAAACGGTGCTTGGGATGACTTTTTAACTTTTTACGAAAAGATGTGCCAAAAGTAGAGAGAAAAGAGAATCTTTGACTTTTTGATATGAGTTGTTGATTTTTTAGATAATTTAATAACTTTTTAACTTTTTAACTAAAGAGGAGGGTTCCCAAACGAGGCCTAAACCTTTTTTGTCAGTAAAAATCCACTATTTTGCTACTAAGGCCTCGTTTGGGATGCTACATTTTTAGTCAATTAGCCAAAAAGTTACAAAATTAGCCAATTAGCTAATTAGTCATACTAAAAAGTCAACAATTACGGTTTCTCTCTACTTTTTGCACAGCTTTTCGTAATTAGCCAAAAAGTCATCCCAAACATACAAGTTTTTTTTACCTATCTTTTTAGCCAATTAGCCAAAAAATTACTAAATTAGCTTGTTCCCAAACGAAAAATATATGTTGTTGGAATTGCCTTTACATTTGGTGACAAAAAGTAAAGAAGTGAATCTTAAGAGGTTTTTGGCTACGAACAATTTTAGTCAGCAAAAGTCACCACGACAAAATGACATGGTCTCTAAAAATATGTATTCTATTGGTGACCAAAATATTTAGTCTCTAATAGTTTGTCAAAATTTTACGGTAGAACTTTTAGTGACTAAAAATTGAATCGCCGAAATGTCACGTTTACCGACTAACTAAGGATTCATAGCCAAATGTTCACTTTCGATGACCAATTCTTTCGTAGCAAAAACGAACACCTTCCCCGACCACACGAATGTTAGTAGCCAAAAGTCATATTCGGCGACTAACGATTTTAGTAGCGAAAAGATACCATTTGCGAACTAAAAGAAATTTAGTAAGGAAATGTTTCACTTTTGGTGACCAAATGAAGTTTAGTCGCCAATACTATCGCTGACAGGGTATAGGCGACGAACTTGGCGACAAAAATATTTGGTCGGTAAATCATTTCAGCGACCAAATTTTAGATTTTTGGCGACCAATATTTTAGTAGCCAAAAGTGAGATTTCTTGTAGTGTTATATGATACCTTTCGCCAATTATAACTCATCACTTCTCTATTTATTTATTTATTATTATTTTTTTACATAAACTAATGGTTGTTTTGAAAAAAATAATTAAAAATTAATTTTTTTGGCTTTCTTTGATTTTTTTTTTAAAATATATAAAAAACGTAAGAGATGATATCATTAAAAATAAATTAAAAGATAAAAGATGACTTTTAATTAGCTTCTCAAAAGATTATGCTGGAGACCCCAAATAATTGACTAAATTTTTTAGCAACTCATGTGAATTTGTGTGATTCCCACACCCATTTGAAAAGTTTAATATAAAATTTAATAAATTATTTGGAATTTATTGCATTTTCCCTTCTCAAAATATCTGTAAATAAATATATACTTACTTAAAAAAATATATTTATTTGAATCACATCATCTTTATTTTTTTATATATCTTTTTATAAAAAATTAAAATTATATTCATTTAAATCATCGTAAACCATCCTTATTTAAGGCCAAGTTTGGCATGACCTAAATAATACAAAAAGTTAAAAAGTCATTATTCTATTTAAGTCATAGCATCTTATTTAAATCACCAACAATGATTCATCCCACTAAAAATATCACCACTAATAGCACTAGTGCATATATACTTACTTAAAAAAATATATTTATTTGAATCACATCATCTTTATTTTTTTATATATCTTTTTATAAAAAATTAAAATTATATTCATTTAAATCATCGTAAACCATCCTTATTTAAGGTCAAGTTTGGCATGACCTAAATAATACAAAAAGTTAAAAAGTCATTATCCTATTTAAGTCATAGCATCTTATTTAAATCACATCACTTCTCCAACCCATCACATCAAACCTAACTCAAACCCAATCTATATAAGTCAATAAATTAAAAAATATACTTTTTTAGAACATTCCAAACCAATCTTAAATCTTTCCAAACCATCTTTAGTGTTCGTGCCAGCTATATACTGGCAGAGACTTAACTACCGTTAGTCATTTTCTCTCTCTTCCCTTGCAAACCGAGCACATTTTCTCTCTGAGTAAAAAATCACTTTTTCTCTCTACATTAGATCCCTCTCATATCTCCCTGCAAAATAAAATTTGAATTTAACCCAAATCAACAATAAAATCAAGCAACGTATTCGTACGATCATCAACGGTGGACACCCACCGACGGCCGGCGGCCAATGACGGAACAGTTGCAGAAAATGGTAGCTCCTAGTTGACATCCAACTTGAAGTAGAACCATTGAAGATTTTGATCTGATGAACTGATTAGAAAATTGCTTGAACAATATGATTTTGATGAACTGTTTATAGTAGTGCTTTTTTCCTTCTTTATTTTTTGTAGAAAAAAATTCTCTTGAAGAGTAAATCGTGTTTTTCATTCAGTCATTCATTTTTTGGGGGGGGGGGGGGGGGGGGTGTTTTGTTTTGGGTTTGCTCTTATTTTTTTATCAAATATATTTCAAATTTTTTTCTTCATTTATTTTTTCCTTTTGGGTAAATTATACTAACACTTTGGAGATTTTTATTAAATACAAATATTTATTTACATTTAAAAAATTATATAACTTTTTTCTAAGATTTATAATCTCATTATAAATTGTTCTGTTCTCACGATTGATGATATCATGTCTTTAAAGTTTTTAAATAACCATCTTATCTTTTTTTTTTCTACCATTTTTTCTCCTATCATAATGACTATTTAACAAATCAATCCCGCTGCATACTCCCAGTGGGGGTCGCGCCCCCAGTGACGTGGCGCGCCTCCACTGGCCGAAAACTCAAAAAAAAAAAAAAAAAAATCTAAAAAAAACAAGATAAAAATAATTAAAAACCATATAATGGTGTTAATATTTTAATTATAGAAAAATATAAAAAAAAAAAATTGACTACTATATAATTAGAAAGATACACTACTAAAAAAAATACTTTTTGCAACCGTTACAAGCTGTCGCAAATAATAAAAAAAACAGTCGCAAAAGACCTTTTGCGACGGCCTATGCGACGGCAAATGGGGGTCGCGAATGTGGGGGTGGCAAATACTTTTTGCGACCGCAAAACAGCAGTCGCAAACTATTTGCGACCGCTTAATCTACTTATGGCGACCAATGTTTTGCTGTCGCAAAAAAATTAAAAAAATGCCTACAATGTATTAGCGACCATCTTGTTACTGTCGCAAAAAATTATATAAAAAAAAAACCTACAATGTTTTAACAATCTATATTCTCTCATATATATATATATATATATATTCAAATATTATATACAATAAATGTAAAGTGATATTTGCAAAAATTCTATTACACATGTATTATTTTCCATCACTTCCCTCATCAAAATTATATTTCTTCAAAAAATTAAAAAAAAATGTGCATACAAAATATAAACTTCTATACATGCAAAACAAATATCCATCAAACCATCCTTAAAAGTATTTATACAAAAAACTAATAGATTCAAGTACTAAAAAAAAAAAAAAAAAATCTCAATTTAGCTCTCAATATCGCCCACCCAATCATATCAACTACTTCCTCAACACTACCTGCAAAAATATACATCAATATATTAGACATCATTCAAATTATCTTTGCTTGAGCAATAAATACCTATTTGGTTCATTTTAAACAATCAAACAACTTAGACCTTCAAGCTTAAATGTTTTTTTTTTGGTAAGCTTTGAAAAATTGTATACCAGATCAGCTCCACCTTCTTTACATTATTATTATCTGTCACCTCTTTTCCATAAGCTTTGGCTTTCATCTCTACACTACTCTTTATCGCCTCTTCCACAGTGGGATACGTCAGCAAATCCATCAGTCGAGTCCTGTCCTGCAAAATCACAAGCACCACAATTTAACAAAATCAAAGTGATCATGACCTGTTTCAGCACACAAGGTTTTGAAAAAGTTATACTAAAGGAATGGATGCACTGGGTGCATCTGAAAAATAAAATATAAACTTGTGCTCTAATGGCAGCTTCATATGCATCTGGTGAAGCTCGAAATTTAGCCTCTGCTACAAATTTACCATAATGAATTCTCTTTGAGAGAGCCTGCAAACAAAGTACAGCAATACATAGAAGGAATAGTTGCAAGTTAGAATGATTGGTTAATGCCCAACACTACGTTAAATGCCATGCTTTGGGATATATAAAAAAATAAATCAGAAACTAGAAATAAAATCATTCTATTTTCCTCCTTTCATAAATTAAGGCATAACATACCCGAGCATGAAGCTTTTCAGTTTCTTTGACCATGAAATCAACCGAGCCGTGGAACCCATCCATGAAGAAAGCATTAGGGTCATATGTGTCAACATTGAAACAATATTGAGCTCTCTCCAGGAGGCTAAATATGATGCTGTCCTCTTGTCGAATTAAAGAATTTCTTATACCCTCTAGAGTAATATGAACATTAAAATGTTTCCAACAGATTGAGTACAGCAACTACTAAACAGCAAAGTCGAAAAAAAATAAAAAGAGAGAATGATTTTGAGCAGCCACTGTTCAGAAGGATGATAACCAAGCGATACACATCTGCTCCATCATATGGATTTCACCAATAAGCAGAGCATTAACAATTGAAAGTAAAATCATATCATATATACAGATAAACAATGGCCTCCAAGTGCCACAGAACAATACATCAATAGTTTAGCATATTTATTTCTTGAAACCATTCTTGTTGCAGGTTTCCAAGTAAAACATTCATAGATGAACAATGGCCTCCAAGTGCCACAGAACAATGCAAATGAAAAGATCAAAAACACTAATATATTCAATCATGAGCATGTCATCAAACAGAAAAAAAAAAAGATTGACTCATTGAATATAACAGCTATATAAACAATAAAGGATTGGATTGAATAGCTATATAATCTATTCGATTTTGTTATTTATTGAACACTATAAGGTCCGAATCTATTTTCAAGCAAATTACATAAGAGATGACAGAAATTTGGATATAGAAAATACACATTCATCATTTTCGCAGCACAGAACTGAAATCAAATACACAATTAATGACAGAAAATACACAATTATTTATTATGAGAAAAAAGAGTTACTTATAAAATTTTATGAATGACATGCAGGTTCCAAAAACAGTCAGACGAAGGTAAACTAATAAGGGTGAAGGATGTTTCTAACCATGGACAGGCAAATGACATATGGTAGTAGAAAGTAGAACCAAAACCAAAAAAAATGAGAAAAAAAACATATAAAATAGAGAAAAATCAGGGAAACAATTCTCTCAAGCACTAAACTTCCAAAGGTGCTATCACAAACAAGGATATATTTGATATAAAAACAAGCTTCAAGTCACAACAGTACAATCAAGGTCTGGCTTGGAAGTCATTCTCCTAGAAAACTAATCAGAGCACATGCCATGATTATTAATTACTGTGACATTTTAGCATCATTATCCTGATAAGTATATCACAAGAGAACCAACAGAGGACTGCAAACCTGGAGGCTATGGCATCCCTCCAAGCACAGGAGCTCATAATGAATGTCCAAGCAATCAAAAGGGGTCCATACAACTGAAAAATCCACTAGTAGATCGTATAACTTGCAATGCTAATTCAAAACCTTGTCAATTACTAGTGAATCAAACCACCATTTATTGATTTATCATATAAATTAACCAAATTTATGTACGTTCAGAATTTATTTCACACATAACCCAAGTAACATAGGAAAAGAACATACCTCTATCATCAAACCATAATGGAAATGAGTGGGAGAGAGACAAAGATGAGAGCTGCCAATAGACTTGCAGAAATAGCAAATTTCCATTGAATGAAGATCAAACATTTGAAAAGTCACCATTCCATATTACAAAAGAAGTTCATTAACATTTATCAGCCATTAATTGTAAAAACATAAGATTGAATATTATGAAAATCAAAATAGACAGCCAGAAAGTTAATACATAATCCATCCTAAAAAAAACAAACATTAACATCTGGGTGTGCCATATTTGTATATACAGATATTTTTTTTTGTCCTAAAAGAGTGAGAAGATAGAGAGACAAAAATTGAGAAAATGACTTTATATATATATATATATATAGCCCTCCACGTGCAAAAATATATTACAGTAATTAAAACAAAATGCTTCCTGCAAATAAAAAATTTAATCAGAAAACACATTCATTATATTAAATTTTTTGCTTTGAAAATTTAATCAGAAATTTTTTGGAAGGAGGAGAGGCTGGAAGCAATGAAAATGCTTTGAAAATCGCGAGTAGAACCCAAGCGGAAGTGTAGTGGATTAACGTGAGAAATATTGGGAAATTGAAACCAACTTTCCCCATTACCTGAAATTAGACATGAAGTTTGGTGTTAGTTTGATTGAACAATGCTGCAGCCCTGTATGTTATTGCTTTCAGTTTTCGTGTTTTTTTTAAACAAAAACAATGAAAAGTTAAAAACGCCCATCATATATATTTTTATGTGAAAACAAGTTTCAAAAATTTAGAAAACAATCCAAAAGACAGTTTCAGAAACAATTTGCCAAATAAGTTTTTTTGTATCCATTTACGTTTTTCTGTTTTCCTGTTTTCGAGAACAAAACAAAAAAATGAAAACAATACCAAACGTGCTAATGATTTTATGGTTGTATAATTACTCAAGTCTAACAATGCATTTACCTTGAATCTAAAAAAGAACAAAAAAAAAAAGAAAAAAGAAAAAATCACCACAAATAAGAGGAAAAAGAAGGATTACGGACTAATTTGTTTGCCATAATGATTCCAACAGCAACCATAAAATTGAAGGTCATCGCCACAACCGGCCCACAAAGACGTTGTTGTTGGCGCTTAGCACCTTCTGAAGTTCGAATTTCACTGTACAGAGCACCTCTAATTTCTTCCAATGCTCTACCTGATATCAATAAATTAAAAAAGCCTAAAATAAAATAAAATAAGCCAAAGCAAAAGCAAAAGGTAGTTTCATTTGTATCACTTGTTCAATACTCTGTGACGGGAACAACAAACAAACACTATAAGCAAAAACCCAATTGGACAAATGTTAGTTCCAGACAACTTAAATGATTTGCAAATAAAGAATAAAGCTAAGATCAATTAAGAGAATGATATCATTACCTTGGAAGTTTTGGATTTTAATTCATGAAATGTGGTAGTAAAGAAACTCCAATTAGAGACAAAAAAAAATGAGAAACAAATAAAAGCATTTTGAATCACAAAGAAAGAATCGAAATAGGTCAGAACTTAATTTCAAAGGGTTCACATAGTGACAAGTTGAGCCGTGATAAATTCCTCAAAGTAAGTCGCGAGCTCAAATCCATTCTCAAAGCATAAGCCTTGGGGCCTATAACTAGTAACTACCAGATATGTGTGGTGTGGGTGGGTCCCAAGGCCTACTACCAATAATTACTTGGTGTATTTGGGAAGGATATTAATCAGAACGAAACTCTAGATAGCACGGTGTCTGAGTTTCACATGCTGACACCATTTATCAATTATTATTAAATTTCTCACATCTTCACCTTCATTTACACCATATCCAGTTCATACATCAAAAAAGGCAACTCATCCAAATTATCCTATTAAGCCTAATTACAGTCACCCATTGCTAAAAAGTCTAAAACCATTGATTCTAGAAACAAACAAGCCCAGGTAGTTATTGAAAAGCGACTGAAAAGTAACAAACTGATGAAGACATTCTTTGCAAATTTCATTTTATTTGAAAACAATTTATTTATTTATTTATTTATCTATTTCCTGTACTTAGCATAAATTACCTTGTAAAAACAATGCCATTTTCACATCGAACAACAAATTTCAAGAAAAGGTTGTGCTAACAGCTCTATGATTGTCATTTAAGGTGGAGATAATGAGAAAATAATCAGAATTCCAAATCAAACCACATATTCTTAAAGGAATTTCTATACACTTTTCAAAAGGCACATATTGAAAACCAGATAATACTTCTGAGCTTCATCAAACTAAATTGATATTGAAAATTGTAGAGAGAGCTTGAAATCAAAATTAAATAGAGCAATATAGAAATCACTACTAAGTTCTCCAATTAATGTTTATCATCTAAGTAAACCAGAATAAGACAGTAAACTTTACCTGAGTGCAAACCATAGTAAAGGCCTCACACTGAGTAGGGTTCACTTTCCCCTGAAATAGAGTGCTCAAACAAAATAAGATTTATCAAGTGGAGGAATAGGACTTCAATCCTGAAGCAGTGTGCAAACTATTATCTTAATCCAGCTTAACTTAAATTCTTTAGATTATAAATTCTCTCTCCACGATTCTAGATTAAAGTTTACTCCTCTTATGTCATCAACTAAAACTATGTTGTCTACAAATAATACGATATCCTCTTTGAATGTTTCTAATTGATTCATTTATAACTAACGCAAAAAGAGATAAGGACTTAGTATTGATTTTTTGATGTCAACAACGTTACTGCATATTTTTTTTCTTTAAAAGGACTTTGAAGCCATTATCACTTATCAATTGACTTCATAAAAAGTTAAATATTCATTTAACAACACAAAACATGGTAATCAAACAGCATACTCATACAATTTGATCTGGCTTATAAGAGATCCCATTCTCTTTTGCTAATCAAATCACACTGAAAACAGAATCCTAAAATTGACATCCTTATTGGACATTCAAAACACAAAATAAATAAATAAATAAAGAAAAAAAAAAGAGCCTAATTAAGTATCCAAAACACAAAGCAAAGCACTAATTCAACATAAACAATAAACAATTCATCACAACCAACAACACACAAGCCTAATTTATACTAAATTGAAGAAAAGAAACATTAATGGAATGGCCAAAAAACCTAATAGCCTAAATTGAAGGATACATATGCTGAGGCAATGTGTACTTTTCAAGAGATTGATTAAGAAGGCAAATGAGAAAGAGATGATGATGATCCTATTATTACCTCTAATGAAAGATTCAGCAGTGTTAGTTAACTCTCATCAAAGACCCGTGCAAAATGAGTGAGAAAGAAAAATCCACGAAACATCAGTCAACAAACCCTCAGCTATTATTTCATCTTCTATTGATCTATAACACACTCAAAAAACCCCAAATTTGTCAAATTAAAATCAACAGTGACTCAATGCTTAACACAAAAACACACACGCACATATATATATATATATATACACATTTCGAGAGTAGAGATTTGAAGCAAAATTGCAAACCAAAGAAATATGAGATTGTCGGAGTCGAAGAGTTCAAGATCTTGAGGAAGTTGAGGACGTCTACTTCGATTCTTGCTCGGACCTCAACAGAATAAATTCAATTTCAAACATTGCTATTTACAACATATACATAATATATAGAGGTACATATACATGTATAGTAGAGGTGCTAATTTGAGAAGATCAAAGGAGAGAGAACACGAGATTGAGAGAAAGAGAGAAAGCGAGATTGAGGGAGAGAGAAAGAGAGAGAGAGAGAGAGAGAGAGAGAGAGAGAGAGATTCATACCAGTCGTATTACTGTGAGACCGATAGAGAGCGAGAGCGAGAGAAAGAGAACAATCGGTGTTTGTGGAGGGGCTAGGGCAAGTATAAAGAAAAAGGGAAAATAAATAGAAGAAAATAAGGGGGTAAATTGATTATTTGCGACGGCTAATCAGATGGTCGCAAATTATATAGTAGCAAAAGGTCAATTTTCTAGTAGTGCTAAGTGATGATATATAAACATAAATTTTATATAGAATTTTCAAACACAATGATATAGTTTAATGGTGATATTTCATTTTAAGACAAAACACTTATAAACATAATTTATATTTATAACAATATCACTATCACAATATTTTTATGATATTTTTTATATAAATTTTTATATATGAATATAATTTTTCATTTTTATTTCCACAATTATATCACCAAATATTATATTTCTTAATTATGTCAAGATTATATGTATGTAAAAATAAAAATAAAAATATTAAAAAAATTCAATAAAAATAAAAATACGAAAAACAATTAATTTTTTTAATGAGTTAAACCAAAAAAAAAAAATTGTTATTTTCTTGAAATAACATGAACAAAATATCTATATTATTTTATATATATAAAAGTTAAAGGGCAACTATATTATTTTAATCTAACATGAGAAAAAATGTAATTTTTCAAATATAAATGGTGAATCTATATTAAACAAAAATATCTGAGAATGTCAGTGCGATGCATCCTTTCGGTTTTTAACAACTATTTTAAAATATTATATACTACATACTATATAATTAAAAAAATTATAAACTTAATTTGAAGTTTTATATTGCAAAATAAAAAATATAATCAAGAAGAAGAAGAACATAATAATCAAAGCTAATAACGGTCTCGACAGTCAAAACTCATTGTATTCAAACCCGGTTGATCTTCTCAATAAAGGAACCATATTGATATTGTACATGATTATCAGCAGAAATAATTATGTTCATGACAAAAATGAAATTGAGGGGTGTTTGGAAATGTGATTGGGTTAAAATAACTCATTAAAAGACAAAATAGATAAAAATAGTCAGTATGATAAAATGTCATATTCAATTTATAATTATTTTACTTTTTTTTTTCACATAACTATCAAATTAACTGTAAAAAAAATAATAAATAAATAAATAACCAACTTTTTAAACACAATTTTTTAAATCAAGTTAAATAGTGAAAAAATTAAATAATTAATTAAAATAACCAACTTTTTCAAACAAGCCTGAGTTTACGAGAGAGAACAAACTTGTATAAATCAGATTAGGTGAGGTGTAGAAGAGATCAAATTACTTCCATTGAATATAGACCTCATTTGGGAACATATTATTTTAGTTATTTTACTTTTTTTTTCACATAACTATCAAATTAACTGTAAAAAAAATAATAAATAAATAAATAACCAACTTTTTAAACACAATTTTTTAAATCAAGTTAAATAGTGAAAAAATTAAATAATTAATTAAAATAACCAACTTTTTCAAACAAGCCTGAGTCTACGAGAGAGAACAAACTTGGTATAAATCAGATTAGGTGAGGTGTAGAAGAGATCAAATTACTTCCATTGAATATAGGCCTCATTTGGGAACATATTATTTTAGTAATTTTTTGATTTTTTATTTAAAATGTAAAATTAAAAAAAAATGGTATGTTTGAAATGATTTTTTGATTTTTTACAAAAAAGATATGTAAAAAGTAAAGAGAAATTTTTTTTTTTGACTTTTTAATCTAAATTGTTGATTTTTTAATTTTTTTAATAATTTTTTAATTTTTAAAATAAAAATAATATTGTCAAATGATGCCTTAATTGAGAATTTTAGTTGAGATGAGAGAAAAAATAAATGATCTTGTGTAAGAGAGAAAGAGCTATTGAAGAAAAAGACGAAAAATGATGTCAAAAATGGGTTTTCCAGAAAATAAGAGAGAAAAAAAGGTCAGGTAGAAAAAGCACTTTTCTAGGTAAGGGAGAGGAAAAGTTGGATTGTTTGGGAAGTACATTTTTTATTTTTTTATAAAATATATATATATATATATATATATAAAATGTTATGATTTAAAAAGGATAAAAAAATAAGTATGTCTGACATGAGGACAGGGTTGAATTATAATCGGTGAAAAGTACCAAATAAGTATGTCAACTTAGGGCTAGTTTGACATGTACTAAATAAGTCAAAAAGTTAAAAAGTCACTATCTTATTTAAGGGTTGGTTTGGGGTGTCCTAAAAAAGTGTACTTTTTGTCTTTTTACGAAAAGATGTGCAGAAAAGTAGAGAGGTGATGTGATGGAAAAAAGATAAAAAGATAAAAAGATGGATTATATAGGTTATGCCAAACAAGGCTTAAGTCACATCATCTTATTTAAATCACATCACTTCTCTAACACATCACATCAAACCCAACCCAAACCCACCAATAAGTCAAAAAGTGCACTTTTTTAGGACATCCCAAACCAACCCGAGTTATTTTGGAAAGGTTGTTAAGAGCTGGGTTGGGGTACACTATATAATTTATCTTTTTATCTTTTTTTTATTATATTATTTTTCTATTTTTTTGTATATATTTTCGTAAAAAGACAAAAAATGTACTTTTTTAAAACATCCCAAACCAATCCTAAATGTGATTTTTTAATTAAAAGTTGATTAAAATTTATTTTTTGTAAAAGAAGAAAGTGAGTTATAATTTGAGAAATAATTATAACCCACTTTTTAAAATAGCCCTTAATGAATTATTTGCATATAAAAATTTCTTTAAGAAGTGTTTTCTTTTAGAGTAAAAGTTAAATTTATTTTTAAAATTTAGGTCTCAGTTAAAAATAGATTATTTTAATAATTTTTAAATTTTTTATAAAAAAAATGTACAAAAAAATAAAGAGAGTGATGTGAGTTGACAAATAAGACCTTAATGATATAATAGTCTACTAGAATATATAAAATAATTCACTTTTTTATATATTTTTTAATAATCAATTTTTTTTTTTTATACATAGAAAAATTTTTTCACTCTCTCGTAGGTTCAAGCAACGCCCTTACAGAGATCATCAAAGAAACTACTTTAATAATCAATATTAAAAACCTTTAAAAAAAAATTCCAATAGCCCTTTATATTATTAGTTTTTTAATTTCCCGTACAATTATTGCTATGCATGACGCATTTGTTTTCATCAAACTAATGACGTAAAAAAATATAAAATAAATAAATAGAGACTATAAGTAGGGACAGAGAATCCAAGAGGGTAATTAGCTCTTGTTTGACAATGATTTTAAGTTTAAAAAAATATAAAATGACAAAATAAATTAAATAAATTGATAAGATAAAATATCATATTTAATTTATAATTATTATATTTTTTTCTTATTAAATTAAAAAAAATCAAAAAATCAAATCAAATGAAATTAAAAATATCTCAATATAAAAAAATTAATTATTTTAACTAATCCCAAACGAAGCCTCCGTTTGGGAAGTGGGTTGGTTTTTTGGCTTTTTGACTTTTTTGACTATATGAGCCTGGGCTCAAAAGCTTAGTTTGGGAAGAGCTTTTGATTTTTTGACTTTTTTAATTTTTTTGTGAGAGAAGAGTGTAATGATTATGAGGTTGGATGAGATGTTTTGTCTGTTGTGACTCATGAGCCTATTCTATCTTTTATGACTCATTGAGTCAAAAAAACCCAATGAGCCCTTGCCAAAGAAACCCTTCAGTGTACGCGTTTTTGGAAAAATCTTTCCCACCAACCATTTATTAACACTTCGTTGAGGTTGTCTGTCAAATCAACTTAAATGTGATTTTTTTATTTCTCAACTAATAAAAAAAACGTAAATTTACTTGTTTTCACTTGTCAAAAAAATATATTTTAAAAAAAATTTATTTTTTTATTTTTCGTATTTTTTTATTTTTACTGAATTTTTTTAATATTTTAAGTAATTTTTTTAATTTTTAGGCACACTTAACATAAATACATCTAAAAAGTAAAAAAATGTAAAAAAAAATCTTTTAAAAATTCACTAAATACCAAAAATACAAAAAAAAATAAGAATTCAGTATTTTTTTTATATTTTTATGTATTTATCAATTTTTTAAAATATTTTTTCATAAAATTTTTACTTTTTAGATACATCTAAGTAAGGTGCATCTAAAAAAGTAAAAAAAATATTTAAAATTTAAAAAACATTCACTAAGGACAAAAAAATATAAAAACTAAAAAAGTCAATTTTCAAAAAATTTAATTCAGAAAACTCAAACTACAAATAATCTTCTTTCAAATTTGTTGAAATTACAGACACCTTCTCTAAAATTTTTAAAATTATACTTACGTCTCCTATCAGACTTTTTGACTAGGTGGAAATAATCATTTTACAAAATCACCCTTTAGCTCTTTTTTTTTGGACAAGAGGACCCACAAACCACACACATAAGCAATAAGAAATACAAATCATTTCTGTTTGGAAAGATACTTAAATTAAAATAACTCACTAAAAGACAAAATAATTTAAAATAAGGGTTAATTATATTAACGGTGCCTATAGTTTAGGACTTGTGTCATTTTAGTCTCTCATTTTTTAATTGTGACATATTTGATCCTGAATTTTGAATCTTGTTCCAAATAAGGCCAATTGAAGATACCATTGGATTTTTCAAGGGCAAAATCATCAATTTGATAAAATATAAACTAATTTGAAAAAAATAAATATCAAAAAAATATTTTTGAATTTTTGAAAATTATTTCTATCCACTAAAGATAAAATTATATAAAATTGATAAATCTTTTAGACATTTATTTATTTTACCAAATTAATTTCTATTATGTGTTTGGATAATAATCATGTCATAGGTGGTTGTTTTTGTTTTCATTAAATTAGATTTTTTTCAAAAGTCAAATATGGCGACAACTTTGATATCATTATTAAACCAATCCATTAAATTAAAAAATCCAAAACTAAAAATATTTCATATATTAAATGTATCGATTACACATTAAAAGCTTAACAACT